ATCCAAGCCTCTTCCGGTACTTTAGGAAGGGCACATTTCTTTCCAAGGAGAGCCGAGTGCTTATTGTAGTAACGCGGCCAGTGGTTTACACGCGACGATGGGGAAGAAACCAAGTAAAACTTGCTCTTCCAGCTACTCCACTTTGACGACTTGTTAAGCGTCATCATGTATTCCGGATGCGTGGTCAACGTATGCCACGCATTCCAGCCGCCTGGGGCACGGCTGAGGTAGTGCATATGTGCAAACGCCTCCCAGATAGGCGTTGTCCTGCATCTCGCAGCCGGCAATGTACCCTAATATATTCACCCAAGAATTGGGTGTTAACTCCCAAATGCCAAGGTCGTAGCCTCTTAGAATGGCTTTTATTGTATTATGGAGGGCGAAGCGGAGGCCGGCTTTGAATGCCGCCTCATAACAGCCGAAATAGTCGTCGGCATGATCAAGGTCATCATCCTAGATGACGGTTGCCTCTACAGGCGGCACCACAATTTCCCATCCTACCCCAACCGGGCGCTTCTGTAAAAATCCGGGTAAGGTAGCGTTTAGAGTGACCACATCCCTGGCGGTCATGTGTGCCTCTGTTGCCTATTGGATTATTGATGGAGGGCCATTTATACGCCTCCTCATCCTCTTGGGGGGCATCTGGTTCCATGGTAGACTCTGAAGAGTCTGATTGTTGGACGATCTCTTCACCGCCTATATCCTCGGACTCTTCCAAGATATCATCACTGGGTGTGCTAGGTACACCCGGATGGTCATAATGTACAATGTCAGCCGGAGCTTCGGCTGAGCCATCTGATTGGTATTCGGGGTCTATAGTCGCCCGTCTCGTCCGAGCCATTTTGTCCTGCACATGAACAGAGACGGTCGAATTCGCAGAAGAGTAAGGGTGGTCCAAACACCCTCAGAAGGCATCCCCAGTCCTAGACTCAGCCGTATCCGGTGACCAGCTGACAACTATTCTAGGTCGTGCCGGGTGTGTGTGTTGGGTGAGTCCATTATTCTTTACAAGCTATACAACCGGAAAATCTCAAAAAAGTTGCAAGGAGTAGACGGTACATTGAAGATGCTTTGAGTGGGGAAAGTTGGCTATCTGGATCAACAGTCGGAAATCTTTTTGTTGCTTGCTGGATACCCAGACGGTTGCCCGGATGTACCCTCTTGAAGAGCAATTGAAAATTGTTGAACAACCCAGCCGTTCCTCAAAAGCTACCCCAGACGGTCGACCGGCTACGGGTATATTGAAAGCAATTGGAATCAATCAAAGGACCCCCAGGCGGTTTTAATGTGTTTTGGGTGATGAGCATTCAGACGGAATCCGGTTGAGTGAAGAAAATAAAGACGGTTGTGCAAGAAATAGCAGCTGGTATCAGAGCTTTCTCTCAGAAATATTTCTCAAAAATTGCAAAGTGTGAAAATGAGGGGAAGGGGTCTCTACTTATAGAGAACTCCAGAAGGCGAACCGTCACCTTCCAAGTTCAAATTCGAATTCACAAAAAAAAAAAAAAAAAAAAAAAAGAAAGAAGAAGAAGAGAGAAGGAGACGAAACGTCACCTTCTCAGAGCATGACACCTGTGAGGGGCAAATGTTTAGGGTAAAAATACCCCTTCCACGTGGACCAATCGTATGCTGACACGTGTCAGGCTCATAGGGGTTCCAAGAGAACCAATCCTCTAGTGACACGTGGAACTCCAACCCTTGAGAGGGGAACTGATCCCCTCACACTATAAATAGAGAAAAATCATCATTTATTGCAGATTCATAAATATACACACAAAATCCGAGCAATATTAATTGCAGAATTCTCTCGGAAACCGAGAGAAAAACCTTTACATTCTGCACTCTTATACATCCGGATATGTTCTAACTTGATCGTCGGAGGCGGAACTCCACCCAACTGGTGTTTCCGTGGTTTTGCAGGTATAGACGGTCGACGCGCATTCTTGGAATTGAAACTCTCCCGAGGGACTCCAAAAACCCCGAAACACCAACCATATTTTATCAACTAAATAGGGTGAGCAGGGTATTGCTCGGCATTGACCTTGATGTCTTTGTTATAATATAGGTATAATATTTAATTTATATTATTGATATTTACAAAAATAATCATTTTTTCGTGAATTATTGTAGTACTGAATGAGATTGTAATTCATTTAAAAAATTCTTTAAAGACCGTGCATAGCACGGTACTTAAGCCGGTAAATTAAATAAAATTTGCACCAAAAAAAATATATAAATTAAATATAGAAAAATAAATCATAAAAAAAATATATTTAGACCTTAATTAGAGTTTTAGCAATTTCATATAGATTAGGATCCTTGATTGCTACAATCAAGGAAGATTTCCCTTATTTATCTTTAACTAATATGAGTTAAAAAAAATACTACACATATAGCTCCTTGTTATAGGGCTGGATAATTTTATCTATCACACACTTTCTCAAAAACAAAAAAAAAAAAAAGCAAAATTGCCTATGGTAAACTTACCTTATTTAAAAGTATAATTAAAAAAATAATCATAAATGATAATAACAAAAACTAATTTAATTACGTGTTAAACACTTAAACGTGAGGTATTTATTTATTAACTTTTTATTTTAATAACATTGGGGTATTTTTACGATAGTTTAAAGAAATATTAATTAATAAAAAGGTAAATGATAGAAAAAAGAGAAGAAAAAAAAAAGGAAACATAAAGCTACTGTCAATGTCACTTGGTTTTATATGATTTAGAATACAATTAACATTTTGTTATAATTTTGTAATTTTATATGATTTTAGGTTTTTTTTTTTTCCGTCCAATATGCAGATGTTGTAATTTTTTTTCGTGGCGAACCCATCAATATTACAATGAAAAGTAAATATATGGAGCTGCAACTATTTTTACCCTTATAAATAATGCATCTTTTGTAGAAAATATACCCCTAAGTCTCCAATACAATATGTAATCTTAACTAATTAATTTAAGAATTTTTTCACAAATTCATTAAATAATTAAATATGCATAAAATGTATTTTTAAGAAATTTCAAATTTTTTTTAATATTATAAGAATTTTATATAAAAGTACCCACTAACTATAATAATAATTAAAAAATAGATTTTCTCTACTTTGGAGTACTAAATAAAAACAAAATAAATTTTCAATTATATTATTATCTCAAACATTATGATTTATGCCAACCATATTTTGTCAACTAAATAGGGTGAATAGGGTATTGCTTGGCACTGACCTTGATGTCTTTGTTATAATATAGGTATAATATTCAATTTATGTTATTGATATTTAAAAAAATAATCATTTTTTTCATGAATTATTGTAGCACTGACTAAGATTGTAATTCATTTAAAAAATTATGTAAAGACCGTGCATAGCACGGTACTTAAGCCGGTAAATTAAATAAAATTTGTACCAAAAAAAAATATAAATTAAATAAAGAAAAATAAATCATAAATAAAAATATATTTAGACCTTATTTAGAGTTTTGGTAATTTCATATAGATCAGGATCCTTGATTGCTACAATCAAGGAAGATTTCCCTTATTTATCTTTCAACTAATACGAATTAAAAAAAATACTACATATGTAACTCCTTGCTTTAAGGCCGGGTAATTTTATCTATCACACACTTTCTCATAAAAATAAAATAATAATAAATAAATAAAATTGTTTATGGTAAACTTACCTTATTTAAAAGTATAATTAAAAAAATCATCAAATAAGATAATAACAAAAACTAATTTAATTACGTGTTAAACACTCAAACGTGAGGTATTTATTTATTAATTTTTTATTTTAATAACAATGGGGTATTTTTACTGTAGTTTAGAGGAAACTTAATTAATAAAAAGGTATATGATAGGAAAAAGTGAAGGGAAAAAAAAAAAGGAAACATAAAGCTACTGTCAATGTCACTTGGTTTTATATGATTTAGAATACTATTAACGTTTTATGTGCAGTTTTTTATTGCTAAATATCTTCAATTTCGTATTGAAAAAAATTATGAAAATCACATATTAATAAAATACACATTATCACTAATCTAACAAGACCCCACTTGATATATTTTTTCCGTATAGATTATCGTATATTTGAGGTCAAAGTTTGGTCGAATTTGACATTCAGATCAGACCAGACCAGACCAGATAAGTTCAGATAAGCAAAAATAAGGTGAACTAAACAAACCCTAAGTTCAAATAAGTTCAGATAAGATAAGTTCAGATAAGTTGTGATAAAGGTTAATCAGGGCTACCCAAGTTCAATTTATAACTAAAATAAGTCCTAATAAGGGCTAATAAGTTCAGATAAGATTAGATAAGTAAAAATCAGGTGAATAAAACGCACCCTAACTATAATAATAATTAAAAAAAAATTCTCCCTAATATGGCGTACTCAATAAAAACAAAATAAATTTTCAATTATATTATTTTCTAAAACATTAAGATTTATGCCAACCATATTTGTCAACTAAATAGGGTGAACAGGATATCAGCTCGGCACTAACCTTGATGTACCTGTTACAGTATAGGTATAATATTCAATTTATATTATTGATATTTACAAAAATAATCATTTTTTTCCTGAATTATTGTAACACTAATTGAGGTTGAAATTTATTTAAAAATTCTTTAAAGACCGTGCATAGCACGGTACTTAAGCCTGTAAAATTAAATAAAATTTGCACCAATATATATATATATATATATATATATATATATATATATATATTAAATAAAGAAAAATAAATCATAAATAAAAATATATATTTAGACCTTAATTAGAGTTTTGGCAATTTCATATAGATCAGGATCCTTGATTGCTCCAATCAAGGAAGATTTCCCTTGTTTATCTTTCAACTAATATAAGTTAAAAACATACTACACATGTAACTCCTTGTTTTAGGGCCAGGTAATTTTATCTATCACACACTTTCTAAAAAAAAGTATAATTAAAAAAATCATCCTAAATAATAATAACAAAAACTAACTTAATTACTTGTTAAACGTGAGGTATTCATTTTCTCTGTGCAATGACTGCAATCATTACAAACACACTTCATTCCTCTCCTTTTTCAACCCCATTCAACTCAAACACCACCAACCACCACCAACAACAACAATACAAATGAACACCTTCTTTACTGCTTCATCGTATACACCTCTCTGCACCTGTATTTTCTCCGCGGTGAAGAGAGGTGTATATGATGAAGCAGTGAAGAAGGTGTATATGATGAAGCAGTGAAGAAGGTGTATACAGATGCAGAGAGGTGTATATGATGAAGCAGTGAAGAAAGTGTTCATTTGTATTGTTGTTGTTGGTGGTGGTTGGTGGTGTTTGAGTTGAATGGGGTTGAAAAGGGAGATGAATGAAGTGTGTTTGTAATGATTGCACGGTATTTCAAGACTACCTCTTCTCCTTCTTCTAGGGTTTTGCTTCCATGTTCATTCCTCTCCCTTTTCAACCCCATTCAACTCAAAAACCACCAACCACCACCAACAACAACAATACAAATGAACACCTTCTTTACTGCTTCATCGTATACACCTCTCTGCACCTGTATTTTCTCCGCGGTGAAGAGAGGTGTATATGATGAAGCAGTGAAGAAGGTGTATATGATGAAGCAGTGAAGAAGGTGTATACAGATGCAGAGAGGTGTATATGATGAAGCAGTGAAGAAAGTGTTCATTTGTATTGTTGTTGTTGGTGGTGGTTGGTGGTGTTTGAGTTGAATGGGGTTGAAAAGGGAGATGAATGAAGTGTGTTTGTAATGATTGCACGGTATTTCAAGACTACCTCTTCTCCTTCTTCTAGGGTTTTGCTTCCATGTTCATTCCTCTCCCTTTTCAACCCCATTCAACTCAAAAACCACCAACCACCACCAACAACAACAATACAAATGAACACCTTCTTTACTGCTTCATCGTATACACCTCTCTGCACCTGTATTTTCTCCGCGGTGAAGAGAGGTGTATATGATGAAGCAGTGAAGAAGGTGTATATGATGAAGCAGTGAAGAAGGTGTATACAGATGCAGAGAGGTGTATATGATGAAGCAGTGAAGAAAGTGTTCATTTGTATTGTTGTTGTTGGTGGTGGTTGGTGGTGTTTGAGTTGAATGGGGTTGAAAAGGGAGATGAATGAAGTGTGTTTGTAATGATTGCACGGTATTTCAAGACTACCTCTTCTCCTTCTTCTAGGGTTTTGCTTCCATGTTCATTCCTCTCCCTTTTCAACCCCATTCAACTCAAAAACCACCAACCACCACCAACAACAACAATACAAATGAACACCTTCTTTACTGCTTCATCATATACACCTCTCTGCACCTGTATTTTCTCCGCAGTGAAGAGAGGTGTATATGATGAAGCAGTGAAGAGAGGAGTATATGATGAAGCAGTGGAAAAGGTGTATACAGGTGCAGAGAGGTGTATATGATGAAGCAGTGAAGAAGGTGTTCATTTGTATTGTTGTTGTTGGTGGTGGTTGGTGGTGTTTGAGTTGAATGGGGTTGAAAAGGGAGAGGAATGAAGTGTGTTTGTAATGATTGCACAGTATTTCAAGACTACCTCTTCTCCTTCTTCTAGGGTTTTGCTTCCATGTTCAACGACTTCTGATTCAAATATACTTCTAATTGGTGGAGAATTACAGAATCCTTCGTCACCATATTGTTCTACGCATGCCTCGAGAGAGGTGTATAAGCTAATTCCAGAAGTTAGTGGTCCTAATGGTGATATTAAGAATATCAGAATTGAATTAGCTGATGCTACTATTCCGAGGATGAAATCTGGTAAAGCGTGTCCTATTGTTGAAGAGATTGGAGGTAATCTATATGTCCTTTACTCTCGCTTTGTACACAGAGGTTTCACTGCACAATCTGAAATTCCTTTTGAGGTTTTTGATTCAAAAATCGATGAATGGAGAACCCTTCCAGTTCCTCCTTTCTTCGTTGCTGGTTCGGGTACTGTCATTTATGCATATGCTGTATTTGGTCATTGTTTTGCAATTGAAACATCTAAAGAATGTTTTTGTTTTGATACATTCAAAGAAAAATGGTATTGTTCACACAACATGACCTCTCATTTAATCAATATTCTTCCTATGACTATACCCTCGGGTCTGCCCTGCTTCGGACTCGACGAGCAAGGTAGACAACTGTATGTTGGCATTAGTCTTCTAATTGAGCCCTGTGCGTACCTAGCCACCCCCGATGGAACCGTTTATGCAAGGCAATCTTTGTATCATGTTATTTTTAAAGTAATTCTTCCTTATCCTTATCCACCCATGCTTAGGAACGTGCTTATTCCTTTGAAGTCGATACAAGAAAATGTCATTAGAATGTGTGCTTGTTCCATTGTCTCACACAATGACTTTCCAGCTTGTTCCATTGCCTTCTCAACAACTTATCTATAAGATGATTTCTGGAGAATTGCCTGATATCCATGATCATCCTGCATACTCCACCTTCTTGGATGTCTTTGTGGAAAGAAAGTTTTTCCTTAGAGCTCCCCACCTTGGCCACTTTTTCAATGGGCCTGCTTTGCTACTTTGAGGTATCTTTGTTTTATTATTAATTATTTTAAATATTACTACTATCTTTCCTTTTCATATATTGATACCTAAGTTTTGATATTGATAAATGCTTTATTGTTGTTTCATGTTACACTTTGTTTGTGCATTATTAGTAATTTTGTTGGACATTGTCTCTTTTACAAGTTTGAATCTCTATAGATTGTTGGTGTTTTTGTTACAACTTGTATCTTGTATTTAAGAGTTTTCAACCATAACTTCTTAATTAAAATGTATGTGACCTTCCAAGTTCTTCCTTGAACTGACATATAGAAGAGCTTTATGCAATCTGAAATAATTCATTGCTTAAAACAGAGCTATATAGTTTGTATGTCAGTCATTCTTGTATAAATCACGGTTTCCTAATGACCTTTCACTTGAAGCTTAGATGTTTTGTTGATCGAGATCACTGGTGGTGAATTCTGATTCGTCCGATAAATCAATATCGATTTGTTACTTGGTGGTTTTTATATAGTATGTTATTTTGAATCAAAAAAGAAATAGCCACTAAATGTATCATTCTAAATTCTAATGCATGTTGTAGTTAAATTAGTGCAGAAACTTTGCTGGTTGCTACTTGATTGATAATGTTGAATTGTGTGTACCTGTATATAGCTTGAAGAATCAATGAAATCAGAATCAGATAACTTGCTAATCCCTGGTTGATCTGATAGTTTATAGCTACCGGTTTTAATTAATGGATCTTTTGTTGTGTGTGTAATTGGATTTTGGTAACAAGCTGCTAATAAAAGGCTTCTTATTAAATTGTTCAATAATAGTCACAACCAACATAATAGTGGTTAGAACTTGGATTAAGGGTTCTACTACCAGATTTCAATCGGCAAAGTGAGCTTTCAGATAGGATTTGTATTAAAGGTTCTACTAAGAGAGCTTGTTGGTTTCATTGGCTCCTAGTTTTATAGTGATGCCAGATTGTTAGGAAGGATGGTGTTAGCTCTTCTCAGGATTTGTATGCACAAGTCTCACTTGTTTGAAATTGGTTTTGAGAGTGTTATCATGGATGTTTTTTGAATTGATTATACTATGTATATCCTTTATAAATGTACCTTCCCAACCATTCACACTCTCAAGTCTCGCTTGTTTGAGAGCAGTTTTGACAGTGTTGTCATGTACTATGTTTTTTGCTTGAAAATTTGCTGCATCTGGAATTATGAGGTTTAAGGGAATCTTTTAAAAGATACACTCGTTAACAATGTTTTTAAAAATTTGGCAATTCCCTCTTATGCTTAACTTTCTGTTCTTTTTCGTTTTCTTCAATTCTGGCAGATTCTTGCAGCTTGGGGTTTAGGATGGTTGTTTTATTTTGCACCTTGGCGTGGCTGGCTGATTGTTCTGCTTGAAGTTCCTACTCTTTTCCTCTGCAGCGTTTTCTGGTTACTAATTATTACGGACTGTAATGGAGACTGGAGAGTACTCCCCTCTTTATATTATCATCTTTTCTAAGCAATCGACTTCCAGTAACTCTTTTGTAATAGCTTTTAACTAGCTAACTTATCCTGATCTAGCTTTTGTGCACTGTTCTGAAATTCTAACTTATTCTATTACTATGATGTTTTGAAGGATTAGGTACTTTTTTGGCATTTTAAAAGTGAATTCATGTTTCTAAAACTGGTTGCTGAATGCTGAATTTAGTTTCTTAATTTATATAATCTGTTTATTCATACAATCAAATTATTTACAATAATTATACAATATATTTCGTTTGCAAGGAAATTTTACCCAGCTGTATTCTTATGTGAGTTTGCAACTGTTTGGCTAGTAACAATTCTGTCCTGTACTTCATACGAAGTATTAGATTATAAAGAAATATACGAAGTATTGCTCAGGGGATTTTCAACGTTTGCTTACTAGGTTTCTTATTGTTTTGTTATTACAATTGAAGATTTCCAAGCTGACTTGTTAATTTGAATCGTCGTTACTTATCTTTTTTTTATTTCAGTTTTTTGTTTTTTAAAATCAAAACCAGAAAAAATGGTTTGTACTTTGTTGTTGTTAGTAAACTAAATACTACGTAATTATGATTTCATTATAAATCATATCTCCTTTTAAAACAAAATTACAAAAACCGGAAAAGGTGTTTTGATACCAAACGACCCTTAGCAAATAAGTTTGGATCAAGTATTTTCACAAGTTGTTTAAAAGCATTTAAGATTAATGACAACCAATAAAGTATTGGCTTACTTAGTAAAGTTCTTACCTTATATTCTAAAGGTTCGGGATTTGAATTCTACCAAATGAGAGTACTTGGGAGGTATGGATTTCCTTACCCTCCCCTCTGCTCCTAACTCTTAAGTGTCTGGCTTGCAAATATAAGACCAAAAAAATCATGAGGGTTGAGGTCTAGTTAGGGAATTCCTTGTCATTAAAAAAAAAAAAAAAAAAAAAAAAAAAAGAGCTCAATGACATCATTTTGCTTGATTAAAAGTTTGGGACCTTGATATAAAAGTGAAGTGTGAATGTGTGGTTTTTTATTCTTGTAACCTACCAAAGGCTATGTTTTCCACAACTTAAATAAGGTGTTTTAGTAAGTTTTAATCTGATGTAACTTAACTTTCACCGCATATGTAGACTAACATACAATTTTAAAAAAAACGCACTATTAAGTGGAATCTTATTAGAGTATTTGTAATTCATAATTTATATTAATACATAACCCCAAATATTGGTAATATCAAAACACAAATACTCCATAAGATTTGGTCTAATCAGCTAATATAATATGGTATGATTCTAAAGATATTAAGCAACAAGATTTTTAAATAAGTGAAGAGAACATGGCCAAAATCCTCCAAATTTCAAACTCCATTGAATGACTTGATCTCAAGAATTTAATTGGTTAATAAAGAGTATGCTTACATGTAGCAAGGAAAACAAAAAGAGTATGCTTATCAGTATATAAGCTGCTAATTAATCTGCTATAGCCCCCAAGATACAAGTTATAAAATGAAGTTAAAAAAAAAAAAATTAATAAAAGCTTCTCAATATGGAAGCTCATAATTAAAAGGTGGCTCCTCGTATACTAATATGGATGCCTATATATAAATACATAAGTTGAAAAGATTAAGAAAAATTAAGATGAAAGAATATTCTAAGTAGGACTACCTATTCACTCATCAGAAGTCCTGAAAGACTAAGCAAAAACAAATTGAAGAGAGAAATTAATAACATGTACAATTTGGCTCAAGCTATCAACTGGTTGATCTGGCGAAGAAGGGATGGGCGATTTTACCAGAGGGCCAGGACAGCTCCGCAAAAAATGATCTAATCACATAGCAAAAGAATGTACCAAACCTCCCAACATCTAGCCTGTCTTGAGCCTCTTCACTGCATGATCAGACTCGCTACTGGTGTTATCAACTCTAGCATGTTGCAAAGATGGATTACCACTGGGAATTTCAACACCCTGAATAAAGAGAAACAGGTCTTTTGCTTAGATATAATCACAATATTAGAAACATTTGTGTTAAAAATTTTCTCTTACTCGCCCAGTTACTGAGTTATGCTTACCTTCCCAGCAGCCTCCTGGGAATCTTGTCTATTATGTGCTCGATTTCCTATGTCAACTTGAACTGATATGCTTGCTTGAGACAAATCTACCCCAGAACTCTGCAAAGCTCGTGTCAGCGTACTCAACAACCTGTTCGAAATTAATATCCATTCAAGTTAGTAGAAAGAAAAAAAAAAAAACAGGAGAATTAATATTTTATACATACAATCAATCCCTGAAATCATTTATTCTCTTAAAAAAGTTGCCAAAATAGGGATAAACTTAATCTGCTGATCAGCAAACTGGGTACGTTAAACATTATCATGACTTAAGAGAAAACTCAGTTACTGTTCATTTATTTACGACAAGCAACGTTTGCCCTTATAAACCTATACTACAGTTTCAAGGACAGAATCCTTGCTTCTCACTTAGTGTACAAAAATGGTTATGCATAATCTTCAATCACCTTTGATACGATTCATACGAAGAGTGTGAAATATTGCCTTATCTAATCACAGAGCATCTACAAATAGAGTTTATGATTACTCACCCCTGAGAGTATATGCTTGAGATGTTAATTGTACCACCTTCAAGAGCCAGCTCTTGATCTTTCAGTTTATCGGTGGCAAGAGATGGCTCAAATGCAGAAGCTCTACTTTGCCATAACTGTAATTGAGGGAAAGAAGCATTGCCTCCCTCAAATGGAAGCCTCACAGGAGGTGGTGCAACAGCACAACTATTAATGATAGGAGCATGGATATCATGCTGCAGTGGTGGAGAAACTGATCCTGCTTTATTAGTTGTTCCAGGCTGCTGATCAACTGTCTTGACATTGATAGCATTGATCATGCTACTCTCTGCTGGGGTTTGGGGATTGCGCGGGAAATTCAATGAAACAGCAGGAGTAGCTTTCTCGTCAACTTTAGCACCGAACATCAACACAGGACTAGCATTCACTGCTCGAGACTGATCAACAAAACTCTCAGTTGCCACGTGGCTATTTCTCTGCATTAAACAAAATAAAAAATGAACAATGGTTTACTTAAAAAGTTTCCATGATACTTCAAAACACACAAAAATAATAAAATGAGTATTAAGCCCTTGTTTGGTAAATGGTTTTTTTACTACTTTTTTAGTAACTAATGACTATTTCATGTGGTCAAACAATCAAAAAATTTGTTTGGTATAATCTTTCGGCCTTTCAGCCAAAATGCAAAAGTTAGTTTGAGTAACCTTTTGGAGATGGCTTTTGGCTTTCTAACCTAAAAGTTGGTCTATTTGCTAAGTAACAGCCATACACTGATTATATCAAATACCACTATAACCATCTAACGGTACCTAACTTAACAAACATTACTTTTAACTCTACACAATATCAATCTGAATGAACTGGTGTAATAGTTGTTGCCCTGAAGCAAGGAAGAAGTCCTTTCAGAGTATACATATTGCTAGCGTAACCTGTAAAAAACACTGAAGAACTTACCCATGGATTCAACTTGGGTGGTTCACTATTCCATCCAGGGTATGACCCTTCGTATCTATTTACCTTTTCTTGTAAAAACTGAATGTATTCAATGACCTGCATAAATACAGATATGAGAGTGTATTCTGGACAGCACTATGTCAGATAAGAGAAGGTGCCTGTGCTCATACCTCTAATAGAAAAGATGCCTTATCTCTCTTTTGGTCACTGTGAGGAATGAGTTCTCTCAACATGTGAAATCTGCAAAGGCAAAAAAGAGGTGTCAATAAGACAGTAACTCTTGCTTGGGACATCAAGTTTTTAAAATGCATGCAAGGAGAATTTTAAGCTAGATTAACAGGCGACTTTTTCTGGGACCACATTTCACAATTAGAATCTATGTTGCACAATTCTTCACCTACCTTGCCATGACCGTATTGCATCTACATAGAAATATTGAATATCAGAAAACCTGGGTTGAGATGGGTGTGATTTTTCATAGAATATCAGAAAACCTAGAAAAAATTCGGCAGATAGATGTCGGACACCCTATCCAATCAGACACTATTGATGAGTCTAACACTCTACATATAGGAAATGCTCTTTTGCATTAATTTGATATCTTCTTACTGTTTATCTTGCTAAAGACTCTGGAAACAAAAAATTTAGTTTCAATCCAATATGGCAAATAATCAGATGTCACTTAGATGACAACTCCCAGATAATGCAGCAACAAATCAAAGGAATGGGAACAGATAAATAATTTCTTCTGAGGCACAAGTCACATGGTGCATCTAGCAGGTGCTCCATCTAATTCAGACAGTTTTAAAAAGTCTGCTTTGGTTTACAAATCAGTTCATTATTTAGGCTGAGGTAAACTTGCCTGTCATTAATTTTGCATCTTCTTCGCTGCTCTGTTGCAGAGTGTTTGGACCGAGGGGTGATAGCTTTCTGATCACTGCTCTTTCCACCAACATTTACACGTAATTCTCCTGTAGAATCATCAATTTCAATGGTTAGAACCTCTACATCTTAATTGAATGAGATATTCTTAATTATAACCCATGAAGTCAATCAAAAAAAGGTTGTATTATCAAGAGAAAACATAAGTTCAAAGACAAGTTTCATCTACAACTGCATTTCTGTATCAATTAAAAAAGAGACAGAGTGATATAAAGAAGTTCATGACGCCAAATACAACCCAACTCCTATTACAATGAGCAGAATACTAACCCTTTAGAGAAGAGCTGCTTTCCTTTTTTAGGCTCAAATCCTCTTCAACCTCTTCCTCCACAGAATGAGGACCCTTTGCTGATTTGATCATCTCCATAAAGCTTTGACTCTTCTGAATTAATGCCCTATAAAATTTCCAATTCCCTTATCAGTTGGACATAGTTGCTGGTGAGGATGAGAGAAATATAAATGGGGTAAGTTACTGACTGAGAAGACGAGAGAGGGCTGACACTGCTGCGGTGGTTGGAAGAAGACTGTGACGGCCGGTCCAAAGGCCATTGCCCCATTTTTATTGTTGACTCTGTACATCAAAATCAAGGGATTTCTCAAAATCTAGTGAAGTTCATAAAAATGTAATACTTATAGAGAGAAACTTCACAAGTTCCCTAGTATCAGAAATTGGGATGGAACAAAAGTCTTTATCGAAAATCAAGTATCAAATTCCTGATAAATTTTGATCTAGTTAGCGTTAGAACAGGAAGGTAAGTTATGTAAAGAAAGCCCACAGTTATTGGAAAGTAGATTTATGTGGAATACTACTGAGTAGTACTCTGAGTCTCTGACCCAGAGCAATCACTTCAACCAAAACTTATATCAATACTTCCCAAGAGGAAATTTGAGAGTTACAACACTTGCAAGTATTCAATTCTATGTATTTTATATGAGCCCATTTTTGTACCCCTTTCATATTATCTGCTTCTCTGCATTTAAAATTAAATTAACTCAATTAACCTTGCCACTCTTACACCCTGTCCAAATCAAAGTCTAATGTACATATTAGCATGTCCAAATTCCATCATGAAAAAAGCGCTTGTGCAAGCAAACTGTTTTCAACTCAAATGCGATTGTAGCAACATTAAATCCTCCCTCAATCCCATATTTTTCCTTTTAAATGACATGAAGATTGGTGTGATGAAGAAATCAAAGTAGATAGTGACTTCAAGAAAAAATTATATTGTGACACCCTAAAATACAAGTAAGGCTATTTAGAGAGATAGTTCTCCAGCAAACTGTGAGAGAGGGGACAATTTGATACTCACACTTATGTGGGATTTACTGCCCTTCCTCTCTCTAGTTCACCAGTGAGCTAATTTACCAGATAGCCTCTTTTTTATTCCTAATATATAAGTGAGAGGTCTAATATGTGATGGAGTGGTAAATTGATGTGAGTGTAACCTCCAATCCCCATAAAAACGCTTTGAAAGCATCACTAGGACAACAAGCATCATGCTTGCAAAAGTCTGTATAGTATATTACCTTTCTACTTCAATTGGCCCTCTAAGTTGTCTTGTATGCCAAACTAAAACATGAACACAATAATTATTATTGGACTAATGTCTAGATAGTAAATTACTTAAATCGGGTATCAACCTGCTATGCAATGCTTAATCTAAGTTGAAAGAATGAATTAGACATTTACCTTTTACTATGTTTTCATCCCCCAAATTCTCTTTCCCTGTATTTCCCTTTTTCACAGTTGATTCGTCCCACAATGTGAAACCACTTCCCGTATATGAGCTACAATTTGAATTGTCATCATTTTTATCATTGCTGGTTGCTGGAGCCACTGAGAAGATATTCTCCTCTGGCTTAGGCACCTTTGGATTAAAATAGGAAATGTGACTTATGCTGTATGTTCCAATCCCACCAGGCAATACATGTTCAACTACTGAAGTAGGAGGAGCCGCAGATGGAGGCTTAGCATTTATATCTACCAAGTTGTCTTCCTTAGGACCAGGCTTTTCTTCCCCTTCAAGTGGTTGGAGGAAATTATGTGTTTTAAGCAAACCTCCTGCTCCTTTCAGAGTTGAAAAGACAGATAAAGTCATACACTTAAACATTTTACTGCACAGGAAGTGCAAATAAGGAAGTGCAAACAATCAACTGTTTCTTCTTCGATCATTCATATTACTGCTCAATTAATTATTAATTTGTAAGACCTCAGACAAAAGAACATTCAAACCAGACCAATAAAAAAGCGTGAAGAATAGATTTACACGAGATACATGTAGCTGTGTAAATATATTACATGAATAGTATTTATACAGTGGCCATGTTTAGCAATTGCAAAACACTGTAGTTCAGCTACCATGAGTCACAAGCATAATAATTTAGACTGCAAACAAATACTTAACTGAAACTAATGCAGCAAAGAAATGAAACATCCTGGTCTAAATGTTAGAATTACCATGTCGCCATAATTGTGAAATCCATGCTCATCAAAGAGACAATGCAATCACTAATCATTATTGAGAAGTATTTTTGAAACAAAACAACATTACAGCTACAAGGCATAAATTTAGAAGCTTATTGTCCATTTATAAATTGAAAAAAAAAAAATATGAAGGGAAAATATGGTGTACATAGGAATGGATACTTTGACAGTTTATGTAAGATCATAGTCCATGTTCATGGATAGTTTTCATTAAATAGCCGAGTTTAATTTGAGTCCAAGTGATTGCAAGAAATAATTTTTAAGGCATGCTTCTTGACATTAATTCATGTTTGTGTATAATCTGTGTACAAAGACTACAAACACACAATGATACTCTGCCTTTGCATTCCAATTTGATGTACTTTTCTCGAGCTTCAAAGAACTACTTGTGTATGCAACGAAAATTTTCTAGCTTGAAATTAGATTTTTCACATTGCCGAGATTTTTACATGCAATCAATCCTTGGCTCAAATTCCATGTAACAAATTGCAAAGTAATTCTATCTTCTGTGGTATAGGGAGTGTGTAGTCAATTAGAGGGTAATGGAATATATTCTAAAACCAAATTCAAATAGGATGCAATGCGAATCAGTCCCCTATCATATACGCATTTTTTTTTTTTATCTTTTTCATTGATCGATAGAAGGCGACATTTACATCCTTGTGAACTTATTATCTACTTTGTACTCCCTATTTGTTTACCCAATATAACCCATTAGACCGTCCATCACTAGAATTTGTCATTAGAACAATCAGTTCTAACTTCTAATTAGTAAAAATCAATTTCAATTAAGATTTAATTCGGTAAAATTATTTTAATCCGAGAACTTGGCCTAAACATTGAAGTATGATTAATCTTGAAAAGAACTTATACCAAAACAGACTCAAAAACAATTTTGGACAGGACTACATTTAAAAGGGTAAAAGCCAAATTGCATAAAGGACAACAACTGAACCACACGACTTGGATCTCTCTCTTTCTCTCTCTTCTTAGTCTTGAATGCCCAAACATCACTGTCAGAGACAAGAGCGTGCGTATTTTCTGAAGACCCACATCAAAAAAAAAAGGATTTTGCATTTTCAATGTGGGTTGGGCTTCACGTAACATCAATCAGTCAGTGTCTCCCCCAAAATGGGGCCCACAAAAGCCAACCCCCTCTCCCTCACGTGTGACGTGTCCAAGACTAAGTGGCCCTCCAAATTTCTGGCTTTATATTAGGGCCCATGGGCCAGAACCCAGATCTATTATTCCAGATTTGGGCTGAAAGAATAGAAGCCTACTTTCACTACCATTTTTCTCATCCAACAAAAGTCATCGCTCTAACCAACCAAAATCACATATAAAATGCGATTTGTTAGGAGGAAAGATATTTCATTTTTGGTCGTCACATGCATGATTCATCTTTTTTGTGATAGCCTAATTATATTATATGGTTTTATATGCTCCCCTAGTCCCCCCTCCTCCAAGCCCATCTTTAGCCAAATAATTATTACTGTATTATAAAGTATAACTATTTTATTTTTTCTTTTCCCTTTTATAAAACTCACATGCATAAAGGCGCAAACCAACCCGTAAAAACATTAGATGTGCTTATTAAATTTTAGCAAAACAAAAAGTTTCACTTAACTACTAGTAGAAATATTTAAATCTCTCAAAATCTATAATTCCATATACGCGTACAAGACTCTACCCCGTGTCACCCTCTTACAGTACCACTAAGAATCAGAAAATCCGATCACCGATAAGGAGAGAGAAAAAATAAAAAAGAAATTTACCGTGAGAAGACCTTGGATCTTGCTGAAGAGATGAGTGACTGTAGAGAGAAAGAAAGTCATGCGTAGCTTTTCTACCTGTACTTTCAACCAACCAAAAAAAATTAATAAAAAGTTTTTTTAAAAAATGAAAATATACGGTACAAAAATACGAATTACCATGTGAATTTTATCTTTCATTTCATCAATTATTAAATATAAAAATAAAATTAATCGAAACGTTTTTTACGGAAATTCTACCTTGTGTGGCTCCGAAAGGGCGGGATTGAGGAAGCTCCATAAAAAAAACCCTAAAATTCCAACTGAATTATCAAATTATGAAGCAAAATCAGCTGAATTTCGCAATAATTTGAACGTTGGAGAAATTCAAATCCAGAAATCAGATCCAAAATCATGCAATCATAATTTGCATGAATGAGATTACGCAGAAGATCCAAAACCACATTCACTTTCTCTCTCTTCAAAAATTGCTGCTTCTGTCAACTCTTCTTCAACTAAATTCAAATTTCTGCAAATCTGCAGTTCAATTCCAGAAACAAAGTCAGAATTACGCATCAAACGTGAAAACAACAACTGAATTACGCATCTAAACTGCGAAAAACATCAGAATTATGCAAAATTCAGATGAAACACTAATCAAAATTACGAAAATCAACAGACTTATGCATAATTCAGATAAAAACCTCGAAATCACAAACAATCCAATAGAATTCATAATCAATCACAAGATCTAACAACGAAAAAACTCAAACAAAAATCAAACTCATCAACAACAACAACAATTTAGCAGAATCAAATCCTATAAAATTCAAAATAATCAACAAAAAAATGCAGTAAGAATTACGCTTTGATCTTTGGTGAGTAATATATTTTCTCTCTCCTCAAGAAAATTGCTTGACGCGAGATAGGCGCTGCTCTGCTCTGCTCTCTCTCACACTTTCTCTCTCTTCACTTTCTCTCTCTAGCACTCGAGTTTCTCTCTCTTCGAAAAACCTCTTAACTGCAGTGAGGAGATCTTTTAAACAGTGTTGCTGTTTGTGTAAACGGCGTTATATTCACGTCGTTGCGGCGGGTATTTTAACGGCGTTTTTACTCACGATTTTCTCCGTTAACATAATTAGGTGTTTTATTTTTTATTTATGATGAATAATTTATAAATATGAAAAAAAATAAAATAAAAAAATGAGGGAGTGTGGGGAGTAATATTAAGATTTAAAGATGATGATAATGAGATGTTAAGATTTGGGAATTTTTTATGATTTTGGCAATCCCGAGGAGCACTTTAATCAAAAATAATAATCTCAGATACCCTTTCATTATATTATTGTTTTTATAATATGGTTTGCACTATAATCACATTGGACCAACACTAAAGTTCATTACATTAATTTTTTTTTTTTTTATGTCTTTTTTTTTTAAAAAAAAAAAAAGGTTATTTGGAAAATGAAAAAGATAAAAATAGTTTGAGAGTTGAAAAATTAGTAATTATAAAATTTATTTAGATGTCAAAACTATATGTGTCCTGTGATTCATTGTTTCCTTTTTTGGTGTCCTAGGTTTTATGTTAGTGTTAAGTTTGCTAACATAACATTTTTTTTAGGGTAGTTAAAGACAGTTGGGTTATTGCATGTTTTTAATAGTACTAAGATGGATGTGCATTCATAGAAGTGCGCTTGGATGCTTGAACAATGCAACTAATTATGCTTCTCATCATTTTTTACAGCTATGAATTTTTAGAGCTCCCCTTCCTGATTTCAAGAAATCTTGGGATCGGTTCTTATCGCCCACCCTTATGGCTACCCTTATGGCTCTTTAAACACCAAAAAAAATGATGTAACGAATTATGCTATTCATCATTTTTTACGGCTATGAATTTTTCAAATAATTTTCTTAGTAAAATCTAAGTTTTACCAAATTTGTCATGCATTCTACATTGAGAATATAGATTATTAAAGATAAGAGAAGTGGAAAATATTTGAAAATTTGATAAGAGGTTCAAGTGATGAGATTCATGGTAGTTTATTGCAATGTGATAAATTTATTGAGCTCGTATTTTTTGTCATATAAATTCAAGTTGTAGATTACAGAATCGTATGACATCCTCTCAAAATAATTAACCGCCATAAAAAGATAAACAAACAAACACGTGTACATATCACTTTAATGTAGAGGATTCATTAATGAATTTATAGTGTGCCGTTACAAAAGTAATGTTATCCAACAATTAACAACTCTGAGTTCCAAAATGGAATACTAAATGACCAGGCCTGCATGCACCAGTGGCGGATCCAGGAATTAAGGTATGGGGGTACGAAATTAGGTTTGTTAAAAAAATAATAATAAATAAATAAATAAATAATAAAAACACAAAATTTGGTAATGTAGAATTTCTGTTAGTTATAATTCCACACCCTTATTAGTCGTCATTACATGTTTGTATTTCATTCCACTTAAATGGTGAACACAATTGAGCAAAACAAAGAAACCAATTATATAAATTAAAGCAAGGTTACACTTACCTAAGCTAAAGAATTAGATTAACCAAATTATAATTATAAGTTAATGACTAAGATATATACATTAAAAGATATATAATTGTAATATATAATTTAATTTAGTATAGCTAATAACATACACTTACTTTAAATACATTGTCACATTCTAACACACAAGAATACATGGCTTAAACGATACGTTCTACAATTACAATATGAAGAATACCTGATATATATCTACTCCATAATCGATTTAAGTTGGTGGAAATAAATTACAAACTACAAAGAAAATTGAGGCAAACAATAGCACATAAAATTCCCTTAGAATAAATTCCAATAAAAAAGAGAACACCTAAGACCAGTTGTTCAATAACAGGTCTCTTTAACTTTGAATAGTATAGCAATGAAGCAATGAACACGCGCTAGATCTAAGCAAATCTGTGGAATAAGAAAGAGAACACTTAAGAGACCAGTTATTTAGAACAACTGGGCTCTTTCACTTTCAATAGTCCCACGCGCTAGATTTGAAGCGCTACTGAAGGCTGTTATTTTCGAACCTAAGAGAGCGCCTATTTAAAAAAACTGATCTCTTTGATTAACATTTTTTTTTTTTTTTTTTTGAGAATGGAGGTACAGCTGTACCTCTGTGTACCCCCTGGATCCGCCACTGGCAGACACCATAAATCAAAAGGTTAACAGCTCATCATGGACTAATATAAAATAAGAGAAATCACACACGAGCCTACAAGGATAGGTATATATATATTGAAGTGGGATTAAGCCAACCCTCTTGCCGTAAAAAGGAAATTTTACAAACCCTAAAAACCCTCTACGTTGATATAAGTGAATGAATTTAAATGGTTTTGATTAACTAATAAAACTATTAAGAAAATGTTTAGTAATTAATTCATCCAGTTTTCTTTGAATTTATCATTGACAATTTTAGGCATTCTGGTGAGCACTTACCCTACTATTATAGGATATGATTTTGTTATTTAGTAAGGAAGGGAAGAGAACTGTTCGCTACTGAAGTTAGGTTTTCTTTGCCTGTAATTTTCAAAGAAAAACCGCTAATATTGTTAGCGGTTGTAAGTTGAACCTAACTAAAAAATGGACACCCAATACCGATTCTATGTGGACAGTATTTTGGGAATAAGTTTTTAAACCAACAAAATGAAGAAATTTATTTTAGCTTTGACAATATTGTGGAAAATCGTTCCTCTATCTTATCTAATTTATATATACTCTACATACTATATATATCCTTTAAAATTTGCTCCTCTTTGGGTCATCCTTTTGAAAATTCTTCATAATTTAATTTTGAAAATTCCTCTAATCGATCTAATTTCTAGAGTTGACCAAATTTTGATCTAATTTGTACACTAATCTGTAAGACAATAAACAATTAACGAATAAGATGTCATTATATTCATATTAATATCTAGTTTCTAAATATGTTTTCAATATTTTTTAAATTACAAAAATAAAGATATCTGACAATAAATAAACGCAAATAAAAAATAGGATCTAATATGATTTAGTTTGATTTCATTTGAATTTCTTTAAATTGATATCAATATAAATAAGGCCCCTTTCTTTTGGACTGAAATTTGTTGAACCGAACTGAACTAAACAAAACTACTCCCTCCGATTTTTTTTTATTTGCATCACTTGGTGATGCGCAGAGTTTTAGAAGAGTAATATAATATTGTGAGTGGGTGAATAATTTATTATAATAAAAGTTAAATGGGGACCATGAAAAAGAAAGAATGTGAGGGAGAATAAATATTTTTATTATATAAGTGGGGACCATAAAGAAGAGAGAAATGATAAAATAATTTAAAAGGGGTTTAAAGTAAGAGAGAAAAATGATAAAATATAGTATAAAGTTACCAAATAAGAAAGTGATGCATTTAAAAAAAACACCCATAAAAGGAAAGTGATGCATTTAAAAAAAACGGAAGGAGTATATTGAAATGAGCTGAATTGAACTGAACTGAATTATATTATTATTATTATTATTATTATTATTATTATTATTATTATTATTATTATCATCATTATTATTATTGTTATTATTATTATTACTATTATTATTATTATTAATTAATTAATTAATTAATTATTAGTAATAATAATTAATAATGTAATACTAATAATAATTACTATTACTATTATTGATATAAAAAAAATAATAATATTAATTATAATTACAGTTTTTTACCAAATACCATTGAGTTTTAACATAATTCACCAAATACCACCAACATTTTTCAAATTCACCATATAACATTCAGTTTTATAAAAATGTCACAAAATGCCATAAATGACTAACGGACGTTAACACCGTTAGTCATTAAGGCTAATAATGTCATGTGGCAACGTATAATTGGTTCCCTTCCTAATTATTTAATTTTAAAATAATTATTTAATTATTCATCAAAAAATAAAAAATAAAAGAAGAAAAAAAACAGCCACCACCAACGTCCCCCAGCCAGCCACCACCTTATCCAACACCCTCCGCTGACACGGAATCCGACCATAACCACCCGCGTCGGCGCGGAATCTGACCAGAACCCCCTGCCGGTGCTCCTCCCCTTCCCCTGAATCGTCGTGCCCGCATCTCCCACGAAAACCCTCCCCTAACCACAGGCCGACGCCCAAACCCCCCTCCCCACGTCGGCGAACAAATTCACCCCGTCCATATGCCATATCCATCCCACTAAACCACCGCGTACGCCGAAACCCTGAAACCCAAATCTAGGGTTTCAATTTTGGTGTTTTAGGGTTTTATGGTGGTGGTTTTCAGCAAGTTAGGCAGCGGTTTTGTGGTGGTTTCGTTGTAGTGGTTTCGCGGCGATTTTGTGGTGGTACTTTTAGCAAGTTAGGCGGCGGTTTCGTGGCGGTTTCGTGGTTGTGGTTTTCGAATAAGGATCTGGCTTGGGTCGAGGTTGTCGCCGGCAGGGGAGGAGGGCAGTCGCCGGCCAGCCGAGAAGTGGCTGGGGTCGGGATTGTCACCGGCGGGGGTGGCGGTGGCTTGTATTGATGGTGTTTAATTTTTATTTTATTTTTAAAAATAATTTTTCTAAAGTTAATTAATTAATTAAATAATATTAATTAGAACCAATTACAAGCTGCCACATAGCACAATTAACGTTAATGACTAATTGATTTAACGAAAATGGCATGTTGTGACATTTTTATAAAACCGAAATGTTATATGGTGAATTTGAAAAATGTTAGTGGCATTTGGTGAATTATGTTAAAACTCAGTGGTATTTGGTGAAAAAACCGAATTATAATTATCACATAATAAGGCTATATATAATACTATTATTTATAACATTTATTAATATCATAATGATAATTATAACTAATAAAATAATAATTATTATTAATTAATAACTAATAATATATAATTAATCATAATAATTACTAATTGAATAATCATAAAGTTTTATATGTGGCTGCCCACACCGTGCGGTCGTGATTAATTGTTCAAGAGTTACTCGGTCGATCAGGGATTATTTGGTCAAGTGTATCTCGATCTGTCAAGGGTTACTCAATTGGACAGAGGTTACTCGGTCAGTGTTTTGGTGTGTGTTAGCCGGCCAAATATTATTATTATCAATAAATACAATGATATATTATTATTATTATTATTATTATTATTATTATTATTATTATTATTATTATTATTATTATTAATACTCCCTCCGTATTTAATTATATGCTCCACTTTCCTTTTGCGGTATTTTAATATTTTATTACTTGCTCCACTTCCTTTTTTAGAAACTTTAAATAATATTTTACTATTTTCCTCCACGCTAGTAGGCCTCTTATATCATATTTTAATATTTATCATATTCTCTCTCTTCCCCACTTATACTCAATTTTGTTTTTTTTTTAAATTTTGTTATTATTCAACTAACCAACCCCACTTCCATCATATACTTCATTTGTTCTAAATTAGATGACACATTTTGACTTTTGACACTATTTATTAACTTTGTTTTGACTAATATTTGTGATTTAAATAGGTATAAAAATAAAGCATAATCATGTGGAATCTTGTTAGATTCATTTCAATGTGTTAATTAAATTCAATTTTTAGTATTTTTTACAATAATATAATCAAAGATATTTTCGATTGAACTTTTGCATTGGCAAATGTTATTAAAGAAACATGTTATCTAATTTAGAACGGATGAAGTATTTCATTACTTTTTACTGTTCTTCCTAAAACTCCACGTATGGAGAAATGAAGCAAATAATAAAATACGGAGGGAGTAATAATAGGTTGCACAAGAACGGGTATCGACATGGATACTGGAAAACATCTATCTCAAAATAAGGGACACGGGTACAGAATGTTAAAATTCATATATTATTAATTTTTTTTCAAAAAAAAAAAAGAACTTGACCATATATTTGTCATTTCGTCCTCTCATTAGATCATACTGTATCATATTAACAATGAGCTATATATGAATGCACCCATATTATTTAATAATTACCTTATTTTTCTTACTTTACTTAAATATTCTCATTAGAAAAAAAGTTAAACAGCCCATATCATAGTAGGATACAGTCCGAGACGTAGCGTCATGTGTCCCACAAGTGTCGGCGTCTAAACGGTGTCCGACACGAACACGACAGTTGGATGAAGTGTCCGTGTATCCTAGTTAATAACATATATAACTACATTAAACAAAAATAAAATGAAAATATTTGAACTGAACTGAATTGAAATAACATGAACTGAAAAATTCTACAGAAAAATGTAAAAGAACAGGGCTTAAGGGCCTGTTCCGATTTACTGAAAACAACTTAACTGAACTGATTGGGGCTGAAGTGAATTGAACTGTTTATGAGAGAAGAAAATTAGGAAGTGAAATGAACTGAAATGAACTAAACTAATTAGAGCTGAAATGAAGTAAAATTAAGCTGGACAGAACAGATTCTAAGTTGAATTTAACATAACCTAAAATTACTTAATTAATCAAAGTAAAAAAAAAAAAAAAAATGTGAGGAGTGAGAAAATGAAAGAAAGGAAGACACATGGGGATAGTGAAGGGTTGGCAGGAGTACGAGTCCCGGGTTTTCCGGCGCAGCTTAAAAAATAAAAATAGTAGCCACCCTACTTACCCTACCACCTCTTCACATAAATTATAAAACCAACAACTCTTTCTCTTTCTTTATTTTTTAATTCCAGCAACAAACCAACTGATTCGCATGGGGTTGTCAACTTGGCACCTTTGGTTTTTCGCACTTGGCACGTGACCCCCCTTTATCTGCCATTGTACCAACATCCTCTGCTTATTACTCTACTTCTTTTTTCTTTTTTTTTTTCTTTTTCTTTTTTTTATAATTTGTTTGATGTGATAATTACTCAGTAATTGAATTTCTTTAATAATCTTACTTATACCGTACCATGTTTTTTTTAAAAATAGTTATTTTCTGTTTAATTTATTAATTAAACTGAGTTACATTTACTAAGTGGGATCTGTGCACTAATCATATCTTAGGTTTTGTACTACTAGTAAATGTCCTATTTTAAGTCAACTATTACTACATTAAGTCAACTCACTATATTTACCCCCGACCTTCATTCACGTGACACTTGCAATTTTCAAACTCCCCAATCTTTTTTGGAACCTAACAATTTGTTACCCCGTACCAATATTTTGTGTTACTAACTTACAGTATATATTACGGAGTACTTTCTTCTTTGAGATTTTACAAATAATCGAGTAATGTTATTTTTGAGATATTCGAAGAATAGTCGTGTTTTTCATAGAAAAATTTGTCAATAACAGTTATTTAAAGTTTGTATTTTGTAAATTGTAGCCATTTAAAAAAAAAATTGCATATTGCAACCCAAAAGTTCTTATAAATTGTAAATTGCAACCCAATTCAACTTTTTCATCGATTTACGTGTTAAAAAATATTTGACTAAGGTTTTAGGGGCCATTTTAGTTATTAAGGATCTGAATTGAGCTCGGAATTAGCAAAAAAAAACGTAAGTGCCTCGTTTTGCGTGACAAAAATGTATCGATTTGTGGGCAATTATTTTTTGCTGTAAAAACGAGGCACTTACGTTAATTTTTTGCCAATTCCGAGCTTAATTTGGAACCTCGAGAACTAAAATGACTGCTAAAACCTTAACCGAACATTTTTCGACACGCAAACCGTACCAATGAAAAAAATTGAATTAGGTTGCAATTTACAATTTATAACAACTTTTGGGGTGCAATTTGCAATATTTTTTTTTTAAATGGCTGCAATTTGCAAAATATTAACTTTAAATGGCTGCAATTTGCAAATTTTCCTTTTTCATATGAAAAATATAGTCAGAAAATAAATTGTACGAGTATTTCCGTTTGATTATTAGTACTGAAGAGGTGATATGAGTATGATTGATTTCAATCAAGGAAAATTACAAGTCATTTTTTCAATTGGGAAACAAATTAGTTAATGAAATAAATGTATAATTTGCATTAAATGATCATAATCATGAAAAACCCACATATAAATAAATGAGTCATTTAAATGGAGATTTAGTTGCTTTCTTATATTTATTTGTTTTCAAGACTTTTTCGATGGTCTCTTCGCCATTGATCCAGATTGAGCTCCATCCATTCCTCTTTATTCTTTATATTTTAACTTTTACGGTTGTCATGCACATTTTAATAAGATATGAGTAAAAAAAAAAAAAAAAAAAAAGGTGATACTCCGTCCCTCTCTCTTTTCTACCGTTACATTTTTACTTTGGTGATCAACATTTAAAAACTTATTTGACTATAAATATATATGTACTACTATATAAATTAAAGATCAAGATCATATCATGTGGATTGTTATTAATTTCGTCTTGAAATGAATTTTCAAATTATCAATTTTTTAAGAACTTTTACTCAAACTATGTTGAAGATATATGTGGCCAAAGATGTGTATGTATTGGAGGTCGTAAAGGCCAAAGTGTAATAAAAAAAAAAAAAAAAAAAAAAAAGACGGAGGGAATACTTTGAAAATGCATTTCAAGTCGATAGATTCTACATATGTGATATATATTTGATATTTAAAATAGTGATGAGTTTTAGTTCTAGAAGTCAAAATTTGAAAAGTGGACCACAAAACGTAGAGAATAAAAAATAAAAAAAAAAAAATAGGAAAGAATTATATTCATAATGCTAAGACCCATCTCTTATTAATTAATTTGCATTCAAAGTTTAATTTGTAAATATCTCGTCATGCTGTATAAATGCTTGATTAATTGATTATACTACTAATTGTCTCATCCAACTTGACTTCAACTTCAATAATTTTATCAATGTAGCACAATTTATATGAGTACAATAACAACTCTCTTGCAAACTAATCGATCAATTGTAGATAACTCTCTTCAAATTAGTTAGGTGTTATACTCTTACTACTATTTAAAAATGACAAGCGATTATATTATATTTATATATATGTCCTATTTATAATTGTATGACAAGTTTATATGTGTACGATATTTGTTTAAAAGGGATCATGATTTTATACACTTTGTCAAATATTTATAATTGTTAAACAAACAACTGTTACATATTGGGTAAAATTGCCAAACTAAGCGTTTTTGGGAAACAATTTCCCAAACAAGACGCGTGGCAAAACTATTTACCAAACTAAGCTTCCAGAGTAAAACGCCAACCAGGATGGCGTTTTACCCTGGGCATTTATTTTTTTTTTAATTTTTAGTCAAGGATAAAACGCCATCAAGGGTGGCGTTTTACTGCTGGGCAAATTTTTTTAAAAAAACACATTTACACAAAAACGCTAACGCCGTTGGCGTTTTACCCTGAGTGATTTTTTTGAAAATAATTTACCCCCCTAAAGCGCCACCATGGTTGGCATTTTATCTCTGCACACAAACACAGCTACACAGCAACAGCAGCAACAACCACAGGAGCTGCAACAACAACAACAACAACCACAGGAGCTGCAACAACAACAGCAGCAACAACCACAACAACTACAACAACAGCAACAGCGACAACCCCAACAAGAGCAACAGCGACAACCCCAACAAGAGCATCAACAACAATCACAACAACTACTACAACCTTAACAACAGGAACCACAACAATAACTGCAACAACATCAGCAACATTAACAACACCAACAACAACAACAACACCAGCAACCAATACAATGAAAAGAATGAATGCGTATGGTGAAGTTGATAATGTACAGAAAATGAACTAAAAAGGTTAGTAAAATTGATAATATTTATTTGGATACAATGTACTATAGAATCTGATTACAACTAACAAAAGAAGTTCTAAGATCCCGATTCATCTATTGTATGTAAGTGTTGTCTATCCAATCGCGGTCTTCTACGACGGTAGTACTGAGATACCGTTGTGAAAGGATCTGGGGCAGAGGTCTGGGGAGGAGTCTGTTGGCTGGAAGATGGTCCTTCCTGAGATGAGTATGGCACAGACATGTGGATGGCGATATCTTCCTGATCATCAAAAAACAGGGGGGACCCTGTAGGGGACGTGTGAGTCTGTCCCCTACTACTGCTGCCTACCTCACGGTGTGAACGGCGGTGTGATTGGTCCCGGCCCTGGGGGATAAGATGGCCATGACCATGTCTCTGTAAGCTACTCACAGTCATTGCGTGAATGTCATCCAACTGCGGTATGGTGGGATATGATATGCTCAAGACTTCTAGTGCATCATGTATAGCAAGCATATCAGACGCCTGCATTAGTCAACAATCAGCCATTTTAATAATTAAAGAAACTATAAATTGGAGGAAAAGAAAAAATGACAAAAAACTCACATATCCACTGATGTCTCCAAAAGCTGGGTGGTAATGCGTTGAGGGTGGGGTGTAGTTAGGGTTGATGAAGCGTCGGGTAATGCTCCTGTACCATACCATGTATGGATCGTGATACTCCATCAGGCCTTGGACAGGCGCACCATCCGCGACATGCTGCAGCCGCTGGTCCCACATGTCAATGTAAGGGGCATGCTGAACTGCCCAGTTAACCTCCCCCTTTCCTCGTCGGTCTGTCCTGTGCAACTGGACACTCGTGTCACACGGGGCGGGGATGGCTTGACAAAGGCCGAACTGTCGCATGACTCTGTCGGGGAGGTGAACCTCCACCAACTCAAAACAGATGAGCACTGTCATGGCACGCCACTCCATCTGGTGATCAAGAAGATATTGGGGCATGGCATCGACTAAGTGAGGGACGTACGGATCCCACGTCATCTGCATTAACAAGCAGTCGTTAACATCATAATTAACTTATTAAAATAATGAACACGGTGTTAAATTAGTTTTTAAAGTGAACTATAACCTGAGACTCGCTCAGTCTGTCGAATGCATCTCTATAATACGGCAGACCCCTTGCTGCATGCACACGAGTAAGTCTCTGCCCTAGCCACCTGATTACATGTATAATAACAGTGTTCATGACAAAATTAATAGAAAAGTAAAACCATATGTGGATAACTTAACAATAAGTCATACATACCGGCAACCGTATGCTAAGTCCGGTGGTGGGTGTGGCGGCGCCTCATATGCATGCTCCTGATCGTCTTCCTCCTCCTCCTCGCGTCGACGCCTAGCAGGCATAGCTGGCCTACCAACGTGGATGTGCTCCCAAGCCCATAACTGTAATAAAAAAAACAAAAGTTTAGTCTAGCCAATGTTTAGTACGTAATAGGTAGAAAATGGTATGAAAGTACAAGACTACCTGAAGCACAATCAAGGGATCGCTGATCTCCCATCTACTACGCTGGGATGCTCTACAAAGATGTCGATATAAGGTTGCCAGACACGCACTACCCCAGCTGTAGTCACGTATACCCTCCCAGTTGTTCTCTAACAGCTGTAGGTAGATCAACTGTATGTGACTACCACTCTTGTTACTGAATAATGATCCTATCAACATGAACAGGTACGCTCGAGCGTATCTTTGGACGACCCCATCATCAGCATCAGGAGGCAACACCCCAAATGTCTCTCGTAACCATATGTGTCTTAACCCTGTGCCTCTAACATCGGTCGCCTCAGGCCTCACCCCTAACACCCTCTCAACAAGGCCACGAGGGTCCTGTATAATCGGTCCTGTAACTGCCCTACCATGCACTGGGAGCCGTGTAAGTATCGCCACATCTCGGAGCGTGACGGTGGCCTCCCCAACTGGTAGATGGAAGGAGTGAGTCTCCTGTCTCCATCTCTCAACGAGCGCAGTAATAAGCGCTCGATCGATCGGTGTGAAGGCCATCCTATGAAATCCGCCGAAACCCACAAAATCGATGTACTGTAGCACACGGGGGTCGACCACCCAATCTACCACCGTGGTGGCAACGTGGTGCCTGCAAACCAAGCAACGTGCTGGATCACCCTGTACAAGAACAAAAAATAAATTGTTTGATCAGTGAACCAAATAAATGCCAAACACAATAAATATTTGGTAGATGAAAACTTACTATCTGCTCCCATATGTCACGGCTCCGATGGGTATCCTGAAGTGTCAGCACTGAAGGGTCAGCTGGTCCAGGGTCATGTCGTGTCTGCCCCTGATCCTGTCCCTCCATGATCTCTGTTCAGCGTACAATGTAAAACAAAAAGTCAGCTACATCCTACTTGAACACATACACACAACATGGTATAAAAATAATACATAAACTAACACCACTACCGGTCACCGTCCGTTCGAAAAGGGCAAGATCTCTTATTGTGTCCTTCCTGACGGCAACGACTACATTTGCTTGGTGGACGGTTTGTCTCATGCATTTCATTTCGTATACGCTTCGACGGTGGGCGACCGTGTCCTCGGACCATGATCTCATCAGGAATGATTTTAGGCCCTCTGTATGACCTCCACGTCGTCTCACAAGGAATAGGCCAGAATTGTGGGGCATAAGTATTTGCATACGCCTATGATCGTAGGAAACTGTCCACCCACGGTTTCTCAGAAACTGAATACTTAAGACACACGGCTAGAACATGAGAACATGGTAGGTGAAATATCATCGGTTTGTTGCATGTACATGTTCTTAAATTAAAGTTAACGGTATGCTTATGACCCCCTTTTCTCCCTATCCTTTCTCCTCGGTGTGTTGTTACTTGGTATATACCAAGCTGACGGCTATAAACATCCACTGTATGGTATTTTGCCTTTCTATTATTCTTCTCCAAAATGGCGGTGACCTTAGGTGAGTATGCATATCCGTGAGCACGCCTAGCAAGTGAACTATCTCTGCTTCTGTTAAAGTACTTGTTAACTCTGTGGAAAGTTAACTCGACAAGGGACATGATTGGCAGAAAACGAGCTCCCTTCAACACATTGTTAAAAGTTTCTGAGAAATTTGTAGTACATATACCATGCCTCCGACCAGCGTCATGAAACAAGGACCATCTGTGAAACGGCACATCCGTGATGTACTCTAGGGACTTAACACAAGCTTCGCCGATAGAACGCATATCTTCAACCAATTTTTTTTCTTGGCGTTGGTGTGCAGCAGCCTTGAACCTGTCTCTCATGTCGTTGTTTTTCACATGGGTCCTCAAGTTAGAGGCCATGTGTCGAACGCAAAACCTGTGAAAGGCCCGTGGCTCATGAAATCCAACATCCGGGTTAGTCATCACAACAATAATCCCCGCATGTCGGTCAGATATAACACATAGGCCCTCTCGATCAGTAACATGAACCCGAATGCAGCTTAGAAACCAGGACCAACTCGAGGTGTTTTCCCCTTCAACTATTGCAAATGCTAAAGGAAATACCTGAAAATTAGCATCAACACTTGTAGCAACCAAAAGTGTGCCTTTATATTTCCCATACAAGTGTGTCCCATCAATAGATAACAGAGGCATGCAGTGTTTGAACCCATCGATGGAAGGCTTAAAGGCCCAAAACACTCGTTCAAATACCTCCATGTTGCTGTAATAAACGCCTTCAGCAATAGCTTTGTATTTCCACAGAACTACAGTGCCTGGGTTCGACTCCTGGAGGGCTTGCATGAATGAAGGAAGTCTGTTGTATGAACTCTCCCAATCCCCAAAAATTTCCGCAATCGCTTTCTGTTTGGCATACCACGCTCTTCGATATGGAACATCGAATTGAAATTTGTTGGAGATGACATGTTGTATGAACTCAACTCTCAAACATGGATCTTTCTGCACAAACGACTTCACATAGTCGCAGATAACAGAGGAGTCCAAGTGTCGATGATCTCTGGGCGGAACTTCATTAACACAATTGTCGCGATGTGGGCCCTTGTAAGATACGATCTTAAAGGCACGTGTGGTTAGATTTGTTTTTGTACCACGTAGCGACCAACCACACCCCCTCTTGCACTTTAAATGAAGGACATTCTCATTCGACGTCACTGTGGTGTAGAAATGATTTCACCATTTCCTGTAGCGCTTTCTTATTGTCGAAAATCATGCCCTTCTCAAATTCTCCCCCGACACGAAACGAACACTGGCTCCCCGAATCACCCCAATGTATGTCCACCTCATAGTTCTCGTTTATTTGACTGAACCAAGGTAATGGAGTTCTAGCAACAACATCATCCACAGACAAATCGTTGTTTATAACATCTTCTTCATCTCCGTCTTCACCCTCGTCGTTTGCGTCATTATACATATCAAGAACAGACAACTCGTTGTTTACAACAAGTTCAGCATTCACCAAAGTCTGAAACGGTGGTGTTTCAATATGTTCTTGCGTGGGAGAGTAACTTTGCAACTGCATCGATGATGAAATGTCATTGTTTGAGGTAGATGGACCAGGTTGCTGCATTGACCCCGACGCCGTAAATTGTGAACTGAATGGAATGTCAAATTGATCGTCGTGTAACATTCTACTGAAAGAACCCATTCCATATTCAGATGATGGAATGTTATATGCGGGCATTTGTAGAGAGCTTGCATTGTATGATGGAAGAAATGTTGGTTGTTGAGTACATACAGGCACCGTTTCCACATACAAATCAGTAGGAAGAGACCTCATTGCAACGACACCCCTCAAAACCTCCAAATGGTCGTCATTCAAAACAGGTTAGATTTGAATCCCGCTAACACTTTCAAACCTCATTTTGATGTTCACTTCAACACTTGTTGGCTTTGAACCAATTATAGTATAAACTTTCTTCAACAAATCATTGTAAGTCATACAAGGTTCAAATGCTAGCGGTTCCATTTTTCCTCCTCTATACTCGACATTGGGTCCGACACACAAAATTTCACCCCCCCAACGGCATAACAAAACAATCAATTGTGAAGCCATGTTCTACATAACATCAGACCACATATTAGGTGACACATATGCACAACTAAAACCACAATGATTCCAATAAATCCCCAAGCAAAGCGTACATACAACGCAGTGTTCGACAACATACTAACTTACCTACTTAATCTAACAATGTAAGATACATTTAAATGTACTTAACTCAACAATGTAGTTCGTAATTCCCTAAATGCTTCATATATGTAGTTCAACAACTAAATGCTTCATATAAATTATACGAAATTATACAACATACATATAACTATACTTAATTTCAATAATTAAACAACAATGTATTATGTAGTTATACATATTTCGCATACTTGAACAACACTATAGTACATGCATTGTAAATTACAAACATAAATTCCCAAAAAACATCATACACAAGTAAAATAGTTAAATTCAAGACATACCTCAATTTCGATGAAAGTAGGGCGTAACAGTGTTGAACAAAGAAGGAGGATTAATTTTTATTGACTATGATGCAAAACTAAGCTACGGAATGTGATGAAATTGCTTCAAATATGGAGAATTGGAAGTTGGTATGCGCGGGGTTAAGGGTTTGCAATTTGGGGGTTTGGTTGAATAATGAAGAACAGCGATATATGCTGTTAGAAATACCCGACTCTAAAACGCCAACGACGTTAGCGCTTTTGTGTTAAAAGTAAAACGCCAACGGCGTTAGCGTTTTTGTGTAAATGTTTTTTTTGAAAAAATTTGCCCAGCAGTAAAACGCCACCCTTGATGGCGTTTTACCTTTGACTAAAAATTAAAAAAAAAAATTGCCCAGGGTAAAACGCCACCCTGGTTGGCGTTTTACCCTGAAAGCTTAGTTTGGTAAATAGTTTTGCCACGCGTCTTGTTTGGGAAATTGTTTTCCAAAAACGCTCAATTTGGCAATTTTTCCTACATATTGAACAGGGAACACATCAAATTTAATTGCCATGCTTAAACATTCAAGATAGTGTACAATTTGGGCAAGATAACAATTGAATTGAAGTAGGTTTATTTATATCATTGAAGTAGCTAGAGAGAAAAACTAGCTTGTCATCTTAAAAGGAGTAATAAAATTCATCTTCGCACATAATAGAAAGAAGATCTTTATCCAAAAACT